TACTTGGCCCAATTAAGGGCTAACCACTTGATTGCAAGTTAAGAGCATGACTTTTAAGTGTTAGGTTAATGTTGTTCTTAAAATGGAAATTGGCCTTGGTAGATGGACCAAGCATAAGGTACGTGTCATGAATTTCTTAAGTTCTAAGAGAAATATTTCGCCGTTTTTTTTTGGGGGGGGGGGGGGGTGGAGATTATGTCCACTTTGTTTGAATTGTTTTGGTTATTTTAATCGCGGTTTTAGCTTGAATATCTTCTTCATCCAAATTCTTGTTTTATTTTTATTAAGTACTATTTTTTGTTGAATTAATGACCATTTACCCCTTCAAAGAAACTGCTTAATTATTTCAATCAATCATTTAGCAATGAACTGTTTATCTAATGCTTGATTTACACAATCTAAAACAAATTCCAAATTCCAATAGACTCAAGAAAAAAGATTTATTCATTATTCATACAATTAATTCTTGAGAATATGATATACACACATAATTTTGTCCCCATGTGTATGCATAGTTATAGAGTAAAAAGAATAAAGATTTTATGTTTGGTGCATCCATAATATAATTTTATACACTATGAGGTTAAGTTAACCGATAAAAATATATAACTATTCATATTAAGTCTCATACTATAATCTATAAAATAAAATGATAACTTGATATAAACGAAAGCAAGGTTCACATGGTTCGGTCACGTACAGAGCAGAAGCCCAGATGCCCCCGTGAGGAGATGTGAGCGATTAATTGCGTTAGTTTTGGCGGGTACGAGAAGAGGTAGAGGGCGACCTAAGAAGTATTAGGGAGAGATAATCAGACAGGACAAGGCGTGGCTTCAGATTTCCGAGAACATGTTCCTTGATAGGAAGGTGTGGTGGTCGTGCATTAGGGTTGTAGGTTAGGAGGCAGTTGAGCACTTTTTCTACATTGAACCGCTGTGAGGCTAGTCTGATAGGATTTTGTCTTCGACTGCTAGTGGTTAATGTTGTGTTCATACTATTCTCCCATTTTCATTGTGTCGAGCCTTATTTACTGGTTATTGTTATCAGTTTCATCTATTTTCTGGTTCTTATGATGCTGTCATTATTTCTTGATTTTTTGTTGATTGTACTGATATAGTGTTTCTTTTCGTCTTCTGAAGACGAGGGTCTTTCGGAAAGAATATCTCTACCCCCTCTGATAGGGGTAAGATCTGCGTACTCACTTCCCTCCCAGACCCCACTTGTGAGATTTTACTAGGTTGTAGTTATTGTTGTTGTTGTTGTTGTAATTTATATAACTTAAAGCACTAAGGGCCGTTTAGTTTCAAAGACGGTTATTTATAGATTAGTGGTGGCAAAATGGTTAAAAGAAAATAGTTAATCACTCATATTATATTAAGAAATGGGTTGGATAATGAACTTTTTTTAAAAACGGGTCAAATATGGATAAGAACCATATTATCCATTTAGAAAATGGATAACTAATGAGTTTAACTTTTACATTTGTAAAGCCTCAAATTGGGGGTTCCTCAAGTTTCGGAGACTGGAAATTTTCCCAATAATGATCATATTCAAGAAGCCATGGATAATATGATTACTCATATTATTCGCCGGTTAACCCATTTTTTATTCGTATTAAAAATGGGCCGGGTCAAATAATTTATCCATTTTTTCATTACCCGTTTTCGACACGTCCCATATTCGACCCGACCCGGCCGTTTGCCACCCCTACCATAGATTAATAATCTCAGTATTTTAATCCTATACTTGTTAATCCACATTCAATATGGCATAGTTAATACCTAAATTTTAGTATAAAACATAGACTAGTAATTAATACTCATCACCTAAATATATCAAATAAATACAATCTCCAACACTATTCCAAAAAATTGGCTCCCCTTTGACCATAGATTTTGGCTTTATTTTTTCAAACAAAATTCAAAAATATTGTTTGTTTGTGAAATATGATCATGTTTTGGAAAAAAAACTCAAAAATTTTTAAGTTCCTAAAAATTGGTTTAGGGCAGCTTTTTGGTAATAAATTTTATTCCACTCACAAAATTACTTCAATTTTTCTTCAAATAAAATGCATGTTCAAACATAACTTCAACTTTCAAAAGTTATTAAGTAACACAGCTTCAAACACTCTTTTTTGAAATTTGAATCAATTCTATATGCAAACGCTAGCTTAGAACATCTCCAACTCTCTTTCATTTCCCCATAATGCAGCTTTTTTTGGCCAAAATGTGGGTCCAATGCTCCCCTATATTTGCCCCCAAAATGGGGATGAATAGTGTTACTCCAAATTTGGAGTGACATCATTCATCTCCTCCATTACTATTCATCCTTACTTTATTATTATTTTATTATTTAACTCTTTTAATTTATCTCTATATATACCTAATTATCTTGTATCTCATTGATTCCACTTTTATTTGAATTATCCGTTAATATATATAACCTATATGTTTGCTTACAAATTATATTATTTAACAATATATGGTATAAAATAATTTTATATTAAATTATATGTGATGAATATGTAAAAAAGAAAAAAAGATAAGAATTTCTTTAATAGAAATAAGAAAATAAAATTTAAATAAAAAATAATAATATAATATTGAAGAAAGAGAAGAATATAAAATGAAATTTTTTTTTTTTGGAGTAAAAAATGGAGTAATGGTTAGAGTAACTTTACTCCATTTTGAAGTATACTCCATTTTGGAGGAGAAAATAGAGGCAAGGGTTGGAGATGGCCTTAGTATCCTAACGAGTCCGAAACCTAAATGCCAAGTTTTTGGACTTAAAATACGCTTCTACTGCCTAAAAAAAGATACTTTTATATATATAACGCGCTATTATATTGCGCTATACTTTAACGGTGTTTCTGCCGTTAAAGTATAGCGCGGTATAATAATGTGTTATATATAGCGTGGTATAATACAGCGTTATATATAGCGTGTTATCATACCGCGCTATACCTGTTAAATAAAATGACCTTCTTCTTCCCCACGAAAGAAACAGAAAATGAGCCCCATTTTTAATTCAAAAGAAACAGCGGTCGTTGG